ATAATCTCCCTGTCCATACCACATGTAGCTTATAGTCCCCCTGTCCATACCACATGTAGCTTATAATCCCCCAGTCCATATCACATGTAGCTTATTATCTCCCTGTCCATACCAAATGTAGCTTATAGTCCCCCTGTCCATACCACATGTAGCGTATAATCCCCCTGTCCATACGTAGCTTATAATCCCCCTGTCCATACCACATGTAGCTTATAATCTCCCTGTCCATACCAAATGTATCTTATAATCTACCTGTCCATACCACATGTAGCTTATAAACTCCCTGTCCATACCAAATGTAGCTTATAATATCCCTGTCCATACCAAATGTAGCTTATAGCCCCCCTGTCCATACCACATGTAGCGTATAATCCCCCTGTCCATACGTAGCTTATAATCTCCCTGTCCATACCACCACATGTAGCTTATAATCCCCCAGTCCATACCACATGTAGCTGATTATCTCCCTGTCCATACCAAATGTACCTTATAGTCCCCCTGTCCATACCACATGCAGCTTATAATCTCCCTGTCCATACCACAAGTAGCTTATAATCCCCCAGCCCATACCACATGTAGCTTATAATCCCCCAGTCCATATCACATGTAGCTTATTATCTCCCTGTCAATACCAAATGAAGTTTATAGCCCCCCTGTCCATACCACATGTAGCGTATAATCCCCCTGTCCATACGTAGCTTATAGTCCCCCTGTCCATACCAAATGTAGCTTATAATCCACCAGTCCATACCACATGTAGCTTATAATATCCCTGTCCATACCAAATGTAGCTTATAATATCCCTGTCCATACCAAATGAAGCTTATAATCTCCCTGTCCATACCACCACATGTAGCTTATAATCCCCCAGTCCATACCACATCTAGCTTATAATCCCCCTGTACATACCACATGTAGCTTATAATCCCCCAGTCCATACCACATGTAGCTTATTATCTCCCTGTCCATCCCAAATGTAGCTTATAATCCCCCTGTCCATACCACATGTAGCTTATATACTCCCTGTCCATACCAAATGTATCTTATAATCTCCCTGTCCATACCACATGTAGCTTATAATCCCCCTGTCCATACCACATGTAGCTTATAGTCCCCCTGTCCATACCACATGTAGCTTATAAACTCCCTGTCCATACCAAATGTAGCTTATAGTCCCCCTGTCCATACCAAACGTAGCTTATAATCCCCCTGTCCATACCACATGTAGCTTCTAATTCCCCTGTCCATACCACATGTAGCTTATATACTCCCTGTCCATACCAAATGTATCTAGCTTATAATTCCCCAGTCCATACCACATGTAGCTAATAATCTCCCTATCCATACCATATGTAGCTTATAATCCCTCAGTCCATACCACATGCAGCTTATAATAGTCCATACCGCATGTAGCTTATAATCACCCAGTCCATACCACATGTAGCTTATAATCCCCCTGTCCATACCACATCTAGCTTATAATCCCCCTGTCCATACCACACGTAGCTTATAGTCCCCATGTCCATACAATATGTAGCTTATAATTCCCCTGTCCATACCACATCTAGCTTATAATTCCCCTGTACATACCACATCTAGCTTATAATCCCCCTGTCCATACCACATGTAGCTTATAATCCCCCTAGTCCATACCATATGTACCTTAATTTATAATCCCCCAGTCCATACCACATGTAGCTTATAATCTCCCTGTCCATACCACATGTAGCTTATAATCCCCCTGTCCATACCACACGTAGCTTATAGTCCCCCTGTCCATACAATATGTAGCTTATAATTCCCCTGTCCATACCACATGTAGCTTATAATTTCCCCTGTACATACCACATCTAGCTTTTAATCCCCCTGTCCGTACCACATGTACGTACCTTAATTGATAATCCCTCTGTCCATACTACATCTAGCTTATAATCCCCCTGTCTATACGACATGTAGCTTATAATCCCCCAGTCCATACCACATCTAGCGTATAATCTCCCTTTCCATACCACATATAGCTTATAATCCCCCAGTCCATACCACATCTAGCTTATAATCCCCCTGTACATACCACATCTAGCTTATAATCCCCCAGTCCATACCATATCTAGCTTATAATCCTCCTGTACATACACATCTAGCTTATAGTCCCCCAGTCCATACCACATCTAGCTTATAATCTCCCTGTCCATACCACATGTAGCCTAATATATCCCCCTGTCTGTACAACATTAAGCTTTTAATATAATACTTAATACTACGTAGTTAACATGTATAGTACGGTTTGAATCATTCTTTTGCTTGCCAAACTGTACTGATATAATGTATAGTATGAAATGTTCGTTGTGTGTAAATATTTATGGTTTTAGTGGTTGTTATTGAACCACGAAAATAAATACAGATTTTAATGATATTTGTGTGTACTGTTTTTAATATAGGATATCCATGAAAGTTTGTACCACGAAACTATCTAAATGGCTTCAAACCATGAAGGAAAGCACCCATGAACCATTCGTGTTATACAGTAGACAAAATAAGTTTTAATTCATAATTTTGAAGCAAGTATATAGTCATAGCTGAAGAAATATGATTTCCGCGAAGAACGGACTTCCTTAGTATGCAACACCACTCATTGCCTATTTTAATCCACTGTTTCCCGACGTCATTTCCCACTCTGGGAATCCCCCGATATGCTATCAGTTACCATAGACAACTTGCAATAGTTGGTGTCTGATACTTAGTGTAACTGAATTTTCATTGACTATTCACACAGCACATTTTGTTCCTCAAAGTCGTGGCTGTGAACCAAGTTTTAGAAACAAAAGATCATGATATAAAGGTTGTTACCAAACTCAAATCATTCCTAATGGTGAAAAGCCTGAAAAATTGTTACCCAACAATTTCTAGAGTATTTTAGATTTAATTGTCTAGTTAAACTACATTTTTTGCAGTGTGTAAACTTTTAGTAAACGTGCATTTATTGTATTTTCAAGCTGATAGTGTATTCTCAAATTAAGGGAAAGTTTTACTTTCAAAATTTATTGCATTAATTTTATCACTTATTATGTAAATATACAATTACGGCAAATGACCTTCAAATAACCTATTTTTATGTATCATCAGGTAGGCAAAATAGAATAAAATTACAAATGAAAGATAATCGGCATGTGTGATATTGAAGGAGTTCTGATCATTTAGGACAGAATTGGAATAGGTTTGTCATAGAATAGGTTTGTCATATTCAGGGACTTCCATACCACAGCTGTCTAAGCTCCATCATTAGGAGGAAGACTCATCATTTTGACAAAAATTTACCAATCTCCCTCGAAACTTCTTCAGTCAAGTTCAAACTCGCACAAACTCAAAATCTATATCCTGTGGTCAAACGATCTCCTAATCACTGCGAGGTATGTGTAATGATCATAACAGGTGTATGTCAGGTGTATGCCAATCAAAATAATGCTTTTTGGAGATATTTTGATACATAAAAATTGAAAGATAAATTGAGCAAAGCAGTTTCGGTCACGTTTTGTACACTTTCTCCCTCATTTAAAATGTGGAATGAGGGAGATCTCATTAAAATGGTTAAAATTTCGGCGGTTACTTGCCCGACTACGTGGGTTTTAGAGTTGTTAGTTAATTGTATAGGGTTGGGTTTCAGATATGCTGTTTTCCTTCCACGTTCAAAAGCCCTTGGCTCTTCCTTCCATCTGGGCCAACAGTGATTAATATAAGTTGAGAATGTATTTCATTATTGTTGAAAATGTTTTAAAGTTTATAAATAGTCAGTCAAACTAGTTAGGAAAAAAATAGAAAGGGTTTGTGAAGATTAATGTTTTTTTGTTTTTTTTAGGACAACTTAGTAATGACCTTTCTATTGCTTATTGCCTGGATAATAGTGAAATATCCTGTTCCTTTTTGTATTTTGCAGATTGAGATTGAGGGTGTGCGAGGGAGCAGCTGGAGTGGAGACATTGCTATAGACGATCTAGAGCTTAGTGCCGGACTTTGTAAGTTTATTTTACCTTCACCTAGAACTGTTTGTTATACTTCAGATAGAAAGAAACTTTGCCTGTAATTTAAGGTGTTTATACAAAATATGCCTGTAATTTAAGGTTTTTATACAAAATACGCCTGTAATTTAAGGTATTTATACAGGTATATCCTAAATTTGCCTGTAATTTCAGATATAAACAAAAACGTGCCTTCAATTTGTGGTGGTTTTCCCAATCTAATTAAAATTAGATCTTTGCATCACTCTCATTTATTGATGTGTTGCATGGAAGGTCTTGCAACATTCAAATTAAACTGTCATAATTCTTAGACCGTTAATCATACAGACTGCATCGATGGATTTTGATGTGTACCTGTATCTGCATCATCCACACAAATGCTGTGCTGTATGTCATAATGAGGTCACTGTGATGTGGACTTCAAGGTCAGAGGTCAAGTGTCCAAAACCTGGAAAGCATCATCTGTCTCATAAATTCAAACCATTCCAAATTGGTTGATGAAACTTGAATCGTACGTGTATTGCTCACAGAATGTGTACACTGTTCCACAATTAAGTTTATGTTTAATTTGAGTAAAATGTTGTCACTGTGACCTTTACCTCCATGTCGAAGGTAAAATATTAACAAGTTTCAGGAAAAGGTAGTGTCAATATTTAGACTCAAAAGATATCTAAGAAAACTGCATGATTTATGGCAAATTTGCAGTGTACTATTATTAGGTCTGATATTTCACCTCATCTGCTGGCAATGCCAATTACAAGCAAGTTGTAGGATAAGATCTAGACTTCATTCAACAAGTTTCTTGTATCCCATAGATCTTCAAAAAAGGATAAAAATCAACAGATGAAGCAGTAATTTTCCCAAAACAAAAAACCAGGGCTTTCATTTAACCCTTTCACCTCCGTAGACTATTATTGACTCATCCAGATCAATGCATGGGAGAGTCTACTTAAGTTGCATAGGGGTGAAAGGGTAAGTGTTTTTAGCTCCCAAAAATTAGGTTGACTCCTAGGTTTAAAAAGACGAGTCTAATCGCCATGTGTTTAGACCATTCAAATTTATGGGAAATGGTGATTTGACCTCTGAAATTGCTGAAGGTCAAAATTCAACTGAAAGCCCTCTGAAATGTTAACCCAGGGAGTTTACTTTTCATTTCATCCCATTTTTGTAAGGACATCTGATTGTCCTAAATTTCGTTTTCAGTTATAATCTCAGAATCCAAAAGGACTTATCTTTCTGAAATTTAACATGCATGGTGATGCACTGTTATATGTAGATGTGCAATAGGACTTTGGTTTAAACAATATTTATTACTTAAATTCATTTACAATACAATACAATCACATTAATTGAAAGGATCTGGCGACAAGATATAAAATCTTATATTAGGCCATCTCCTTCAGGTAACATTTAACAAACATTTATATTCTCTGACTGACCATAATTGTTTAACATATATAACACACATTTTAATCTAATTAGTAAGAAAGAAAGAAATAAGAAATAAAGAGTTAAATTATTAAGAGAGATAGAAGATACAGATTTAGAAATTTGAGAGAGTGATGAGATTCCACTTCAACACCTAGAATCTGCCTGATGCCATAATGTACCTCTGAAAAGTTGCTAAGGTCAAGGTCACTGTAGCTAAAAATAGGCTTACAGTTCGGTATATTGCAGGGCATTAATTGCTGACCTGTCGACGTTAGAGTTGCTCTTAAAGATTTTACTGCCATTGACCAACAGGGGAAAATAATTCCTCCCAAAAGTATTTACATACAGTTTTAAGGCCGGACACAAAATTCTATATTTCCTGTAACATGTTGGAAAAATGTAGGGAAGGTAGGCCACAAATTTTGTTTTAACAAGTAATTTTATATAGTTTAAATAGGATTGATCGACTTTAACAGTGCTTCTTTGAAAATTGCTTTAAAAAGTTTAGGGTATAGGCACAAAATATTAGGGTAAGTAGGGTATCGGAAACACCAAATTTTCTTTTTGACTTAATGATTATAAAGTTGGGCCGGAGCTGTAAAATATTTAACAATTTTTATTTCTTTATTTTTAGGTTGATGACTTTGTTCCTTTAGAGGATGGATAAAGGAAATCCAAATGGAAATGGAAATACTGACATTATATTCATATCTTTATATAACATTCAGTGCTGTTTTGATTTTTTTTTTAAATAAATCCTATTAATGTTGATCAAACAGGTGTGTTATTCACTGCCTTAATATTGTGAAGATATTTTAAAGAGTAAAGACAATGTAATTTTATTCTGTTAAAACGTGGCTTTTTGTTTTTTGTTTTATCGACATCCCGTCTGGATTGTATCGGTTGACCAACTGCAAGTCTTAAAATAAGCTGATTTATTTTACAACAATTATGAAACAAGTTATTACAACTTATATTGATCAATGTTATAAGCCTTGATGTTAGCGCATGAGAGATCTTAATGTGGGAGAAAACTGGAGTACCCGGAGACAACCCACGTGATCAGGCAGGTAACCCAATACTTTTTCACACCTGCACTTGGAGAATCGAACCCTGGCCGCCTTGATGAAAGGCGAGTGTGTTATCCACTCTGCCGCAGGACCACCCGGATGTCTTCTAATTTAATTCAGCCATAATGTAATCCGGTGTGTGACGTTCAACATTAACCCTCTCAACACTGTAGATCAGAATGGACTCGTCCACATCAATGCAGGATAGAGTTAAATAAAATTAGATAGGGATCGATGAGAGGGTTAACCCTTTCACCACTGTAGACCATAATGGACTCCTCTAGATCAATGCATTGAAGAGTTAACTTAAGTTGCATAGGGGTGAAAGGGTTAAGAAAGTAGTTGTAAGGATCATATACCCATTGCCAGTATAATGTCTTCCTGTGGAATGATGTGTTGGATGCCTTTGGCATGGTATTTCAGTGAGGTAGAACTCTAAAGTTGGCATCTGATCCAACATACCCGGGCCTGTATTCATGATATCGTTCTCATGCTCAAGCATTGTTTTTCTACACGGGCCTTATTTCTTGTTTCAGCGATAAATTGAGAAAATCTTATATTTTCAAATATTTCGATAAATTTAGAGACTTAAAGCTGAATACTGTTTTCAATGTTTACCTATAGTTCTTGATTGTTTTACATGATTTAAGTGAGTTACGAGAAAGCTGGTTTGAGTACAAAATCCATGCTTGAGCATGAGAACGCTTTCATGAATACGAGCCCGGTATGTTGGATCTGATGCCACTACTACCTCACTGAAATACCATGCCAAAGGCATCCAACATATCATTCCACCCGTCTTGTGAGGTGGTGGAACTGATGGCAACACACTGTCGTCGTTCACTCAGATAATACTGTATCCAGCATAGTGCGGTATCAGTCGCTCCATAAGAGTACTGATCCAGTCGTTAATAAAGTATACTATGGTCGATGACGTCAAATGCAGCAGACAAATCCAGCATGGCAAACACCGGTCTGCACTTGTTATCCAATTCAGAAGCTATGTCATTATGTACACGTAGGAGGGCCGTCTCAGTAGTGTCCAATGTGGTAAGCCGATTGCAGGTTGTCATGGAGACTGTTTGCATGGAGATGAACCTCTAAACGCCGGGACACAACAACCTTTCGCTGTATCTTTCGCTGTAATATACATCGTTGTAAGCTTTTTAGCTTTTGGAGATGTCTTGATTATATTTCATTTACTTATTTATAATGTCCAACCGGTTGCGCATAAAATGATAAAAGTCCATTATTCACACATTGATGAGTTGTGGTGGTATATATTTCATGTTGCTCACACATTATACTTGACAAAAACAGTTCTCTCTCTATATGAAACCCACGTATAATATTTACACACGGACTGTTTACATACATGCCATAACTTTGTGAAAAATAATAAGATCAGTGATTATATAGTGAGATTTTTTCTCTGAATTCGTGAGACATTTAAAACATAAATTATATAGCATATAACATAGTATTGAATCATTTGTGTTATTCTGAAGCCTCTAATTACTTTGTTAGAGCCAAAATTGAAGATTTATTGATATTTTAAAGGATTTTAGGAAAGTTTACATGTGACATACGGTCCAGATAAAGCTATCAACATTTAAAAATAAATTAATCGTATAAAAGGCAAAATATAAGAGCAATTAAATAAAGAAGTAATTCTAGAGGGATGTCCTTGTTAACCCAGGTTAGAAAAAACATATCTCAAAACATTGGGAATATTTATTTTGTTAGGAAAAAATAACCAATAACTACTATTTTTAGGTCACCTGAGCTTTAGCTCAAGTGACCTATTGCTATCCGTTTTCGTCCGTCGTCGTCCGTCGTCTGTCGTCCGTTAACATTTTACATTTCAAACTTAACTATTTTTTACTCAAATTGGTACATATTTCACCAACAAACATAAATACTGTAGGACTCAGGTGACCGTTAAGGCCCATGGGCCTCTTGTAATATATCCAATTCTGAAGAAACTTGTTTTCTTCTGTTCATGTTATTTTCATTAACACTCAATCCCATCCCGACGGCAAGAGAATGAATTCCGGATTCAATGTCAGTGTCCGGTTTCAATTTTATAGTCACCTCCAACATTTCCGTTTCGGTATTAACAGCTGACATCCTCCTTATGTTGCTGATTAATGTTAATATCAAGTGTCATCACATATTAATTAGCAACTAGCCCCCATTGGATGTGGGATCACTGATTTAATTGCTTAACAGTTCACACATCGGTGAGCAAGTCACCAAGCCATGCCTCGCTAAATCGGCTGGCCGGGACATTCAGAACTTTCACACCTAATGACCTATGCTGCTAATATGGCCTGGCTTGTACTTTAAGTGGCTGGCGTGTGACTTCAGACCTCTTGGCGACCAAGGTCAGTGTGAATCCATGTAGCTATTGTTTATTCACTAAGATTGACCAAATTTCGTTTCTTTTCGTGAGATCAAATTATTTGAATAAAAAGCGTGAAAATGGGTCCCACGCCGTGAGACATTTTGGAAGGCTATTTTTTGTGAGTCTCGCGCCAAAATCGTTAGATATGGCATGCATGCGTTTAAAGTTCGCACTTGTTGATTTGGTCTCAAATGACCAGTAAAAGTCGCATAATTAAAAACACATGTGATGTACATGGTACTAATTGTAAAAAGAGGCCTGGAATTTGGACCTGTTGGTAATGTTATGGTTGTTAACTCACCTGGCACGAAATGCCAAGTGAGCTTATGCCGTGGTGCGGCGTCCGGCGTAAATGACTTTCACCTATTTTCAAGGTCACTGGGGTCAAATATGTTAAAAACTTTAAAGAACTTCTTCTGAATAACCAAAATACCCAGGGTGATATTTGGCCAGTTGCATGCTGGGATGAAGGGCTACCAAGTTTGTTCAAATAAATGACCTTAACCTATTTTCAAGGTCACAGGGGTTAAATATATTTAAAATCTTAGAACAACTTCTTCTCAATAACCAAAAGGCCTTGGATGATGATATTTGGCCAGTAACATGCTGGAATGAAGGGCTACCAAGTTTGTTCAAATGAATAACCTTTGCTCATATTCAAGGTCACAGGGATCAAATATGTTTTATTCAAAAGGCCCAGGGTAATGATATTTAGCCAGAAGTATGCTGGGACAGAAGGCTATAAACTTTCAAGGTCGCAGGCCTCATTTTTTTAAATCATTTAATAGATTCAAATGGATCGAACACAGATATTTTGCCTGTAGCTATATATTAGTCCACTTTTAAGATTACAAGTGTGAGATTAATACCAGGTGAGCGATTCAGGCCCAGTGGGCCTCTTGTTCAGTAATGTTTTAAAGCTGTTTAGGTTCATTTCTGTAGCAATCACTTCCGGTAGACTGTTCCATGTTGTTATTGTTCTATTGCTGAAGACATTTTTGTTTACTTCAAGGCAAAACGGTTTCTTGAACAGCTTTTTTGGGTGCCCCCTGGTCCCCACATTTGATGCCGGTTTAAACATATGTTCATGGTCTACATGGTCGATATTATTTAGGATCTTATAGATTTCGACTAGGTCTGATCTTTCCCTACTTTATTCGAGTGTAGACGGTCCCAGTTTTCGCAGCCTTTCATCATGCGGTAGATTTGATATATTCTTGATCCGTTTTGTAGCCCTTCTTTGCACATTTTCGATGGAGATTTTGTCTTTGATTTTGTCTTTGATAAAATTTGGGGACCATAGAGGTGTTCCGTACTCTAAATGTGGTCCGACGAGTGATTTGTACAATGGAGTAAACATAACTGCGTCCATATATGTGAAAGTACGGAAGATAGTACCCAGGATTCTGTTAGCCTTTGTAACCGTTATATTGACATGGTCTGAAAATCTCAATTTGCTGTCTATGGTAATGCCAAGATCCTTCTCGTTTTCTACTTTCGCTATGTCTGTTGTACTATCTGGAACATTAAGATTACAGATGTGGTTACCTCCCCTGGATTTTCCAATTTTCATGTCATTAACCAGTCGTCTGTCCACTTGCATATGTTGTCTATGTTGTCCTGAAGCGAACCCTCCTGAAGAAGTTTGAATATAATTTAGTGTCGTCTGCAAAAAGTTTGTACACGCTGTCGCCGTGCGTGACGATGATATGTCAACACCCGATATCGAGACTTACTTGGAAATAAAGCTTATGATACAAAGACATTAATTAACTCACGGGAAGACATTGACATAAGATCAGACGACTTCAGGAAGGTCGTTTATGAGGCGCATCAAATGCAGACTGATGTGTTTTGTTTACCGACCTCACCTGTACATTTCACGTGCTAACACTAACTAGTTCAAAAGCTCGGGGTGGCTACGATTTCTGTTGTTGAGCGAGTTACGCTCTGTAAGGAAAATCATTTCACAAATGCTATAACAATAACTCTGTTAAAATAGTGTTTTACAAAATATCAAGATCCCTATAAAATGCTACCATGGGATAGCTTATGGTTACATATGTACCTGACATGTAAGTATTCCAGGCGTAAGCGCGCTATGGCATGATGTCCAAAGTGTATGTGATTGAGAGTAATTTTGGTCTATAAAAGAACAGTAAATTGACCGTTTTAATATTATAAATTTATTTGTTTCCGTCATTTTTGGTAAAGTAAAGAAAATAACTCATTGCATAAGTTCTATTCCTCTACAAAAAGTTCCGTTTGTTTTCAAGGTAGACAACTCTCATCAGGATCAAAACATCATAACAAAATGACGAGATAAGTGTCACAAGCGGTTGCTATTTTGAAAATGAATTATAG